GCCTTGAGAGGCACACAGTAGGTCTAAATGCTAGGACACATAGTTGGATTAGACACCATAGACATAGATCAGGGCAGACAGTAGGTCTAGAGTCCAGGCCACATAGTAGGCCTGGATGCTGAGGTACACAGCTAATCCAAATATCAGAGCACACAATAGACACAGTAGGTCTAGATGCAGGTCACACAGTAGGTCTAAGTCTGTGTGCAGATGTGGCCCTCGGTGCCTGCCCCGCCACACTCCACACTGCAGAAGCCACAGTCTTCAGCCCTCGTCCTCCCCAGGATGAGGCTCAGACCAGCAAGCGAAGGCAACACTTGTGCTCCCCCTGTTCCCAGCTTTTCACAAACACAATTACTCGCCTTTCAGAGATGCCGTCAGTGTTGGTAAACTCCAGCCGCTAAACTGCATTGCCCCTATCTGCACACAAACGCCGCGGTTATTAATAGTTTATCGATCTGATCTCAGGCCATCTCCGATGAGAGCGGCCTCCTCCCCACCCCCTCAGCCCCCTGCTGCCTGCGAAGACCTTCTACCCAACCTTCGGATCAATGCGGCTCAGGGCTGGGGGCGGGGTGGGCTCTGGGCCACTTAATCCACTTTCCGAGGACAACGGTGGAAGCAAGATCTCAGGGTTTGATGAAGGCGGTTAGGTGTGGAGCAAAGCTGTGACCTGGCAGCTGAGGATCGGAGATGAGAGCCAGGCCGAGCCTGGGGATGAGGCTGCGTCTGGATTCAGATGGTAGCTGAGATAGGAGAAAGGTAGCGTGGGGTGTCCGGGGACTCTTATCTTGGCTACTTTCCCATGATTTAAGATTATCCAAAGTAAAAATGTTATCTTATAAAGCAGGAACAAGGTGTATGCGGGAAGAAAGAATGAGAACAGAGGAGCTGTGACTGGAGGGAGGGGAGGTAGTGGGGCTGTGGTAGCTGAGGAGGCTCTGTGGGAAGTTCCTGGCCATTTTCTTCCAAAGGCTGAAAGCAGTTTTCAGAGCGGTTTAGAGGGGAGTACTTGGTCTAGATTCTGCAGGGAAGGGCCATTAAAAGGTACAGAGAAGCCCCACTTAAATCCTGAGCCTGGATGCCGGAGAGAACGGGGCGGGGACAGAGTGGAGAAGGGGAAAGAGTGCAGCTCAGGACTCGAGAAGAGGTGGACGCCCAGGACCTGTCCACTCACTGCCTGGGAGAACTGTCACGCTTGTGCCCAGTAAATGCTCTTGGTTAACGGTCCAGCCAGGCCAGGCAGAAACCCTGGAGCCCAGCGAGGAGCACTGAGTGGAGCTGTAGGAACAGACCCAGATGGGAAGCTGTCTTTTCTTTAAAAGCGCCGTGCCACCACGTGTCCACTGAGCTGTCTCCCACACCACCTGTGAGGTGTCAACCACACATCACCCAAACACATGGCTTGCGTTACCGTTACTTGAGCATGTCATAAGCGGAGCGGCTCCCAAACACGTCCCCAGTGCTGGGGTCCCATAAACACATCTGCATAGCCGCCCACGGGGTGATCACCTGCACGCCTCCGCCGCCAAGCCCCTACTATCTGGTGACGTCACCCGGGAGCCCATCCCCTGAGCCCGTTTCTTTACACACCCCCTGCACCTGTCTCCCTCGAAAGTCACTCAAGCAGGTCAGCTGCATAACAGACACCTGTGAGCATAGCCGAAACATGTCACTTAAGGTGGTTGTCACTCAGCTCCCAGGCACAGCGAGGACGTCGCTGTTCTCAATCTAGCTTCATTACAAAGGAAATCATTCCCAGGGGAGACAGGTTCCCTGCTGTTCCCACTGTCAAGGCACTTCCTTCTGAGAGGAGGAGTGGAAGGGGCTGGGGCGGCATCCCCCCCTCCCCAGCGCGCCCACGGAAAGGGCGCTCCCTATACTTCGGTCCCTCCTGACAGTGAGGAGACCAGATGGCAACCTCTGTGGAGTCTATGGAAATGAGGGTGTTGTTTATGCTAATGAGTGCTGAGCGCTGTGCGAGGGAGGGGCCACTAGAGGAGCTGGCTCAGCTCAAAGTGACAACAGCCTAGGAAGAGGCTGGGAGCCCAGGTGGGGGAAGTGGCATGTGGAGGGGGGGGCATAGAAGTGACTCATAAGCAAAAGAAGCTGAGACAGGCTGGAACCTGAGGTTAAACTGCTCGGCACAAGATGAAAGAGGAGCTTGGAGCAGGCAGAGGGGGAGGAAGGATTGCTCGGAAGGGGCCTCCCAGTTCAGGAGTCGCCCGGGAAGAGCCTTGAGCTGATCTGATAATGGTCTCTCCACTCCACTCCCTCCCCCCCCCCCAACGGGCCTCCGCAGGAGGGCTAGGCTGGTTAGGTGGAGGAGGACCATGAACAAATGTGGGTGTCTCCCCTGGTTTTCTCCCTGCTCTGAAAATGCAAACATCAACACCAAAGCAGAGTGCTCAGAAAGAGGCCAGTATAGGTTGGGATGTGAGGAGATCTGAATTTGCCCAGTGTAGTACCAGGTTGAGGCTTCTGCTGGCCAAAGTTCCTGGATACTCCTTGGCAGAAATTCTCTCCTCTGGAGGCATCACAGGGTAAGGGTCACCCATGGCCTCTGGACAGGTGTGTGCAACGATAGCAAGTATTTCTTGAAGTCTGTCTTCACTCAGTTCCGGAATGTGTCATCTTCATTTTTTTTTTTTTATAAGAAAGTAGATGCTCAAAGGTATGGCTTCCCCAAAGTTACATGGATTCCACACAGGGGGAAGCATCGTTTGAACTCGGTTCTTTGCAGCCTAGATGGCAGAAAGGGGCGTCCAGATTATGACCATACCCCAGGAGAAGGAATGGCATACCAACTCATTCTGGAATGACCTGACCCTGTAGAAAAATCTAGAACAGGAGTCATCAGACTCCAGTCTGTTTAGTCACAGCCTGTGAACTGTGAATATTTTAATGATTTTTAAGTGGCTGGAGGAGAAAAAGAAAAGTATGAGTATATTCTGTGACATGAACATTCTGTGCGGCAGAAAACTCGATAATCACAAATAAAGTTTTATTGGAATCCTGGCACATTGATTGGTTGACAGATTCTCTTCAACTGTCTGTGTGCTATGAGGAAACAGTGAGAAATTACAAGAGATCAGCTTTGAGACGTTTTTTAGATTCATTTTTTAATTGTCTATTAATATTTTGCCTGCATATATGTATGTACCCCGTGTGTGTGCAGTACCTGTAGTGGCCAGAAGAAGGAGTCAGATCCCCTGGAACTGAAGTTACAGATAGTTATGGGTTGCCATATGGGTGCTGAGAATAGAAGCTGGGTCCTCTGCAAGAGCAACAAATGCTCCTAGCCACTGATCCATCTCTCTCAACACGCAAGGGTGTATATGTGTGTGTGCACACACATGTGTGTGTGTATTTGTGTGTGTTTTAATTTGCCTTTGTGTTTCTGTGTCTTGGGGTGGGTGTGCACATGAGGGGTCAGAGATGTCAAATTAGATTCCCCTGGAGCTGGAGTTACAGATTGTTATGAATCATCCAATGTAGAGGCTAAGAACCAAACTCAGGTCCTCTGTAAAAGGTCCGGGCTATCTCCCCAGCCCCAAGACCAACTTCAATGGAGAACAAAGCCTGAGCTATTTGCTCTTGGGCCTTTCCAATGAAAAGGCAAGAAGGAAGTATAGGGGGACTCCCACACCATAGATCTGGAGACCTTGGAGGCAGAGCCAATGGCCCTCAGTCCACCTACCCTCTGCTGAGCACACGTATTGCAGCCTGAGTGTGGAGCACTGGTCAGTTGTCCTCTGTCCCTTGATGTGGGAGTGACATCAATCTGTTGATTTCATTGGCTGAGCAATAAAGAAACTGCTTGGCCCTGATAGGTTAAAGCATTGGTGGGAGGAGTAAACAGAATAGGATGCTGGGAGGAAGAGGAAGTAAGGTCAGACTCTGCTCTGCTCCAAGACAGAATAAAAAGAGGCTAGAATCTTCCAAGTAAGCACACCTTGGGGTGCTTACACAGATGATTAGAAATGGGCTAGTCCAGGTGCGAGAATTAGCCTGTAAGGGCTAGAGTTCATGGGCCAAGCAGTCTTTAAATGAATACAGTTTGTGTGTTGTTATTTCGGGCATGAGCTAGCCAAGCGGCCGGGGTGTTGGGGATGCAGCCCTGCCGCTCTTATTTCAACAGTCCCTGTCTATGAGGGGAGGGATTCCTTGGAGACAGGAACATAACTGTGCTTCTTTTGGTGTCCTTGGAACTGGGCACATGGTGTCCATGGCAGTATGAAGACAGGACTCCAAGGCCTCATGGTGACAGCTGCACAGAATGGGGTAGTCATGACTGTCTCTTGCCACAGTTTACCTGTTCATGGAATGTAGTGATCAACCCCTGCATTGTGGCTGTGACAGGATACATGGGAACAATTGCTGGCGGAACAGTTTGGGAAGGATTAAGAGGCGTGGCCTTGGAGGAGGTGTGTCACTACAGTGGGCTCTGAGGTTTCAAAAGTCTATGCCAGGCCCAGACTCTCTCTGTGCCCCCTCCCTTCAGATCAGCTACTGTTTCAGCACCGTGATGATCATGGACTCACCCTCTGAAACAATAAGCCAGCCCCTAATTAAATGCTTCCTTCTTGAAGTTACCTTGGTCACGGGATCTCTTCACAGCAATAGAACAGTAACTAAAACAATGGTGGTTGTGAGGAATGAGTGGGATCAGGCCTCATGCTGGTAGCCACCCTCGAAACCTGCATCACCCACAGGGCATCCTAAGAGTGTCACATGACCAGCCCAGCAGCTGCTCTTGGGCAAAGCTCAGGGCAAACATAGCACTCACTGTCCCCCTTTGAAGCAACAGACACAGAGCCTGTATATAGTGGGTGCTGCATAAATGCAGCCCATCCTCCCAGCCCAGACCACAGGTGTGCAAAGTCTTCACCGAGTGGATGAGTGGAGCCCGGACAACTGTGCACAGGGGTTGGCCTCCTGGAACACTGCCTGCTCACCCTTGTAATACAAGCCTAACCCTTTCATCTGCTCCCCTGCAGGCTGCCTGAGGTCCGGATCTCAGACAATGGTCCCTATGAATGCCACGTGGGTATCTACGACAGAGCCACCAGGGAGAAGGTGGTCCTCGCCTCAGGCAACATCTTCCTCAATGTCATGGGTGAGTCAGTGACTCAGGAAGGAGGGGCGTGGACGTGGGCGTGTGCATGCACACACTTGCAGGCTCACAGGAACTGTACTGGGACTCTTTGTCAAATCCCTGTGGTTTGTTTATGACCCTCTCCCATCCACTGCCTTTGGCTGGGAGGAGGAAAAGGTCAGACTGTGGCAAGGCTGTGACAGTGGAACCTGGTCCCAACAGCCTCTTGCTAGGGACCCATTCTCTTCCCAGCCCCAAGCTGTAAGGACCTGTGCCTTGTCCCTGATCCTCATGTATTCGGTGTGTGACAGGCTGCTTGTGGATTGGACTTAAGGAGTCACTGAGGGAAGGATGACTCTGTCCGGAGACAGCAGGCTACCACAGCCCCTGAGCCACATTTATAGAAGGTTGGCAAGGGATGTCGTCCCTCGAGCTATCCAGCTATAGGCCCTGTGGCATGGCATGGCTAGTGGAGGGAGGCCCTGAGCCTGCAGCCACTGCAGCTGCTTTCCCCAGCAGAGGCCAATGCCGTATCAGTAGAAGCCCTGAGAAGCATGTTCCGTGAGCATCTTCTACAGGTGATGACTGCCCAGGAGCCTCAAGGGAAGAAACCCAGCACCTCAGTTATAATACACACTCCCCCCTCCCCAGGGCTTTTCTTGGGGTGTTGAAAGACCAGAAAGTCAGAAAACATTCTGGGCTGAGTATGGGGCTCCTGGGTTCTCACCCTGGCTCTGTGTCTTAATTTGTGCAGCTGTGAGAGGGGACAGAATACTAGTATCTGTGTCCAGCTGATGTGACATTGGCTGGATCAACCCTCACCCAGCCTTAGTTTCCCCATTGTAAATGCAAGGCCTTGCTGTGAGTGGTCTCTGGAAGGCCCACCAGCACGTTGCTTTTGCCAGAGGAACTGCCATTCTGTGGCCACTCCCCTGTGGGAATGCTGGGGCTTGGCCTTGACCCAGTCTCTGTGTCTCTGTTTTTCTTATCAAATAATATTTGTCAGGGCAACAAAGCCTGTTATACTCTGGCAATCAATGAGAACACAAAGGCCCTGCGGAAAGTCCTCGATCTAGGGAAATTGAAAACCTCCAAAGGCCAGACCTCTGGAGCAACATTGATCCCACCACAGTAGCTTGGGGAGAGGTGGCATTGCTGGGCAGACTGGCCGGCTCCTCTGACAGAGCATGCTCAGTGTACAACCCTGCTCTGGCCACCCCAGGGAAGAAACACAGCTCAGCCTGCATCATCTAGGGGCTCCCAGGCCAATGAGAGAGACAGGACCCACTGTTTACTCATCAAATGTTCATGGAGCATCCAGGGCACCTGCTCCGGGCCCAGACACAGGGACAAACTTTGAACAGAACCTACGTTCCGGTCCTTGGTGCGTTTGCAGTGCAGGGTGTGAGCCAGGCCTCAGACACAGGCACAGATGAAGCAATACGATGGCAGGTGACCGTGACAGATGCTGGCAGGAAAGTAGAGGAGGGCAATGGGCAAAGAGGACATGGGAATAGAGGACATGTTAATTAGGACGGAGGGACTCAGAGGAGGCCAAGTCCCTCTGCGGCCACTGGGCACTTAGCCAGGTGCTCACACATACCCACGAACCCATGTCTCTCCACCCTCACAACTAACCAGGCAGGAAAGACTGTTATGAACCCCATTTTGTTTGTTTGTTTTTGTTTTCAAGACAGAATTTTACATAGCCCAGGCTGTCCTCTAGCTTTCTACCTAGCCAAGGGTGACCTTGAACTCCTAAGCTTCCTGCTATTGCCTTCCCAGTGCTGGGCCTGAACCAGGGGTTTCCTGTGATTGCAAAGCGAGCACTTCACCCACTGAGCTACACAGCTGGACTTTTGAGGAATATTTTGTAGATGCCTCCCTCATAGACCACGGTGTTTATGAGTCATCTGAGGAGGAGTGAAAGTTCTGGAAGCCTGGAGTGCTTCTGGGAGTGGCAGGGACAGTGGGAGTGTTTTGCCTTTCTGGCTTCCCAGGGCCTCCTATCTAGAGTCCACCTGTCTCTGCACCTCACCTGGAGAAGGAGCCAGGAGCTGTGGCAGCCTTGAGAAGGGCAGCAGTCACCCGCTGTCCATGCCACTTGCAAAAGTCTTCCCTTCAAGTGGCATTGCATGCCACCCACCCATGAGGTCACTATGACAGCATGCCTTCCTTTCCGTGGGGTCTGCACCCACTGACTCAGCAACCGTCAATCAAAATTGGAGGGGGAGGGTATGATGATAGGTGTGTTGGGTGTCCTTGCCCATGCGTGTACACAGAGCCCAGAGGAAGGCATCAGGTGTCTTCTATAACTATTGGCCCAGTGACAGGCTCCTTCCATGGACCGGAAGCTTGAATTTGCAGCTAGACTGGCATCCAGCAAGCCCCAACAGTCCTCCTTTCTCTGCCTCTGTGTTGCGCACACTCAGAGTATATCCAGCTTATACAGGAATGCTGGGATTCGAACTCCAGTCCTCACGTTTGCGCGGCAGGTTTTTTTTTTTTTTTAACCACTGCCTTTGTGCTCTCATTGATTGCCAGAGTATTAGGCTTTGTTGTCCTGACAAATGTTATGTGATAAGAAAAACAGAGACACCAAGGCTGGGTCAAGGCTAAGCCCCAGCATTCCCACAGGGGAGTGGTCACAGAATGAGCACTCCTATCCAGCTCAAAGCTTTAAATTGTATTTTTCCATGTTTGTGTGTACGTGTTTGCTTGTGTGATGAGTGCATGTTCGTGGGCGCATTTGCATGTGATACTGAGAGTCATCCTCAATTGCCCTTCTACGCTGTCCGTGGAGGCAGGGTCTCTCAATCAACCCCAAAGCTTGCTGCTATTACCAGTCTATCTTTCCAGCTTGTTCTGGAGAATTCCAGGTGGGCTGCAACACCTACCCAGCATTTACGTGGAATTGGGGGATTTGAACTCCAGTTCTCATGCTTGCAACAGAAGCTCTTTAACCTGTTAGCCATATCACCCCCCTCTCCCCCCCTCGCCCTGAGAGGCTTTGTTTGTTTGTTTGTTGCTTTTTTGTTTGTTTTTAATTATGCTTCCCCCACCTCCACAACATTCTTCAAATATGTCTCTGCCAAGGTCAGTTTCCAAAATCACAGACAGGCCCTCACAATCTAGACTTATCTGTGACCCTGCCTGGATCCTTTCTCGGTGTCTCAGAGACCCTCCAAGCGAGTAGAGACCGTTCAGTTCAATGCCCAGGTCCCCTTTGTGCCACGAGGGTGTGACAGATAACAGTGAGGCGGGGTGGAACCAAGATCTAGGAGTACAGAGAGCCTCCCAGGATAGTGAGGAGAGGAGCCGAGACTGTGGCCAGGGCCCAGGGTACCTCCATCAAAGTCATTGCATACTGTCAGTCGGCCACAGCTTCTCACACAGGCCTCTGGGTGGAGATAAAACTGAAAGAGTGGCTGTAATTTCACGCCTATCGTATCCTGCTATGTGGTAGGAAAAGACATTCAGGAGGCCCGTGAGCGACACTCAGGGTGTGTGCTGCACACAGCCATTAAAATGTTTTTATCCAAGCCGCCGACAAATCGTGAGCCAATTTGAGAGCTGCATGCTGGGCTCTGGGAATATGTGGCTTGCACAGAGTCATGGGAGGATGGTAAAGCTACCTCCTAGAGGTGCAGGTCACAGGGGTGAGCGTGTTAAGGGGCTCGCGTTACAAGCAATTAAACATAATGAGGCCTGGGCTCTTCACCCATGTCGAGGCTGAAGTCTTCCTCCTGGGTGGCCAGGGTGCCACCTCAGGTCATAGCATCTTGCCTGTGCTGGTCCCAGCTCAGTGCACATACCAAAGCTTGCCACATGACCCTCCATGGGCTCCTATTGACATGGCTGTCCTTGTTTTACAGGGCAGAAAGCAAAGGCCCTGAGAGTTAAGAGACCTGTCCTGTGAGTGACAGAGCCTGGGGCTAGGAGGTCCTATCTGGCCTGCATTGTTCACACCCAGCAGCTTTAACTCCATTCATACTCCCAAGGGAACACCCCCCACCTTTGTCATAGGTTGTTTGTAACCCAAATACCCATCATCGTAGGGTGTAGGACAGAGGCCTCACTCACAGAGGCCTGGTTGAAGCATCTGGCACTGGACTCTCCTATAGTCAGGTACGGTTGTGGTACCCAAGTGAGGATGTAGGGGTGTAGGTGGAGTTTTCTTTCCCAGCTGCCAGTCCCAAGTAACCACACAGAGGCTTAATTACAAATGCATGGTAGATAGCTCAGGCTTATTACTAACTAGCTCTTACACTTAAATCAACCCACGCTATGTATTGCCACATGGCTCAGGGCTTTCCCTGTCCTCCAGCATATCTTACTCCCTCTGGGTCTCCTGTGACTTCACTGCCTCTGCCTTCTTCCTCCTAGCATTCTGCTTGACTGTCCCACCCATACTTCCTGCCTCGCTTCTGGCCAATCGGTTCTTTATTAGCCAACGAGAGTAATATATATTTATAGTGTACAGAAGGATTATTCTACCAACATAGCAGTTTGGAGGATGGAGAGCAAACATCCACACTGCCTCCATTCCTATTCCCTCACACCTCCCCTCCGCTGCCCATAACAACCGTTTCCTCTCAACAGGCATGTGCCACCACATGCTGGGGATCTAACCCAGGGCTTTGCACACGCTGGGCAAGCACTCTACTTACGGAACCACATCCCCAGTCCCTACACTTTCTCCTTCCGAGGCCACCAGTCATTCGGTTAAGACCCGCCCTGGTCCAGGATATTCTCATCTCACTCTAATTACACCAAGAAGGTCACACTCTCAGGGACTAAGGCTTAAGACTTCACCATATGTTTGGGGAAACAGCTTTAAGCCATGACTGTAATGGAGCACAGAGGGAGGAAGCTGCAGCTGGGAAGCCACCGCTCTGTGTTCCCAGTGACACAGTCACCGCCATTGTGTGGGCCCTCACACACCAAGCTCTGCTCTTCATGTGTTCTCCTCAGGACACTCAAGCAAAGAGGCAGTCCTGCCATTTTCCCTCCGACAGAGG